GTTTGGGGTTGGGTTGAGGTTGGGGCTGGATTTAGGTTAGGGTTTGTTTTGGGGTTGAGTTGGGTTTGGTTTGGGTTGGATTGGGTTTGGGTTGGGGTCAGGGTGGGGTTGGAGTTTTGTTGGGGTTGGGTTGGGGTTGGTGGCTTTTCCATTTAAGCATAAGCAGAAAAGCCTTTGTGTGTGTTTTGTTTGTTTTTAGTTATTTTGCTTTTTGTGCCCCCAAGTCAACACACTTTTCACACATTTAATTCAACCCTTGACTTCCAAGTGAAAACAATCTCGTATTACAACACTGTTTGATTTAAGTAGAAAACCCATAGAGACAGACCTATGTCTTCCAAGAGTGGCATCATGATGTCATCAGAAATCAAATTACGAACAATTAAAATTTTATAATTTTAATCTTTAAAAATCCAAACATCATCATGAATTCCGCAACTTGCTTTGGCAATGACAGATTACATGTATGTCTATTTTTTGTCCTGTATGTAAAATCACCTGACCGTTGTTCCGGTTGAAAGCGGAAGTGCCAATAAAACGTAAGCATTTGCTTTTAAAAATGTTAACATCTGATCAGGTAGTACACTTCAAAACTTGGACCAATGACATCATGTTACACTCAAGTGCGTCCTGGCAGCAGATTGAAAATGTTCAAAAAAGTCATAGAATGGACAGATTTTACTGAAAATCTTGAAATAAACGAAGCAAGACAACCATTAGCAAGTTGCAATTTCTGCTATCTCAAATGCAGGCTCCTTGCTAACAATGAGCAGAACCATGACATTTTAGCGTGGGCGTGGAGTTTTTTCAGATATGTGTGTTCATTGGTGTCAACTGCTTCACTTACAGTGCCCGTTTCAGACGTCTCAGCTTCTATTAGTGTGTCGCCATCTTCTGCCATCGTCAGGTTTTGTCGGCCTTCTGTTTTCGGTTGATGTCTGTGTTCATGGATGACTGAATCTCCTGATATTGAGCCCATTCTAAACCCAGCAATAAAGAGAGAGACAAGCCATTAAAACATGTACTTTTATCTCAGCATGAGCAAGAAACACAGACGGCTTCAATTTCACTTCAAAGAATCGTCTGAATCAAAAGTTTTGTGGCTAGATAAGAACAAGCTCTCCTAAAAAATTGGAACCGTTAAGCTGCCAGGTACCATCAAATATCAACTTGATCCACTTAGAACCCTCGCCGATCAGGGGTTTTTATAACTTGGTCTAGTCACAACAGCTTAAAGAAAGAGCTTCCATGAGGTGTTTAGCGAGCTTTGTCCCTTTGGCCTTCAGTTTTGTAAAATTAGTCCCCGGGAGTTGAAAAAAATCCTTAACCTCAATGCAGCTGGCTAGGCTGTGAAACAGAAGTGTCTGTCTAATACGAGGCCAAGTTTTGAATTTTCGTTTGGTCCCAATGGTAAACATCTGAACTGACTGTTAGGCTTCAGATGAAGCTGCTGAGGGAAACAAAGCTGGAATACAGAAAAGGTCATGTGACAATGACAGAGCGTGAAACTGGCTTATGGGTACCAGCCGAAGCAATGAGAGACTTGCTTGCAAAAGGTAATAAACCATGTTGAGAGGAGACTCTGCCAGTGTTTTCAAGCTAAGCAGATACCAAAAAAACTTCAAAGGAACTTTTGACAAAAACTTTCAGCATTCCAGCAGCTAATTATGTGTGAAAGTGGAAGAGGTACTAGTGCCTAGTCTGGTTGGTGGTCCCTGCATTATGAGTTGACTGTGGGGCGGGGACTAGTCCATGCCATCCAGGGTGATATCTCTTATGTCCGATATCCAATGGTGAGGGTAATATGCATTTTTATCACCCAGTCACGTGATTGTTCTGGGTCAATGAAAATACAGCATTCAAGAAAGGTGTAAAAATGAATATCGATTCTAAGAATAATAAGCATCTCACTTGACAGACTCAGCAAACTTTTGGCTCTGGTCTGCTTCGGAGAGCATGGCGATGGAGCTGGTACCTTCCTCGCCCAACACGGCCATCTGCTCCGACAACAATGGACCTACGGGGAAACACACAGGATATGGATGCCAAAGTTAACCTGTCTGATTCGGCCATATTCAAACTGCAAACAACTAACGGGTGCAGTGACTTAGTACAACTTTGGAGAATAGCCAGTACTAACGACAGTCTACGAGATTGTAGCGAAGTGACTTGGTCTTGCAGAGGTCACTTCACATTGATCTGTATAGACTAAGACACAAGGGATCCCACATGAATTCATACTGGTTGATCTCTAAAGACTCTGTGGACAAACAGGAAAGCTAAGGCAAATACCAAGAAGGCTATTTCTGAATATTGTATCAATTGAAAGACTGAGAATTCAACTATTCAATTATTCAGATCGACTCAGTCTTAAAGTTGTGTTCTCAAGTTATGTTGACTCTACGTACTGCCTCTCTGCTGCTTGAATTGTTGAGCATTTGGAGACACTGGTCAGGCACTACATAATATTAATGTTTCTTTGTATTATTATTACGTCAGTTCCCATTTATAGATTTTCTTGATTTATCATGGGAGTGATAACAGATGCATCGTTGGAACTCAATTCACCTTGGACATCATTTCTCTCATTGTCATAGGCTTCATTACTATAGTTCCGCAGGAATTCGGCGAAGGCCTGGTTGCGCGAGAGCAGCTCAGCATAAGAGCCCGCTTCCGTGATCTCCCCATCGACCAAGACAATAATGTGATCTACCCGAGGCAGAAAGCCAACTCCGTGGGTGACCAGGACCCTCGTCTTCCTCCTGAGGAGGCCCTCGGGCCCAATCACCTTGTCGAAGATGTGCTTGCCGACGTGGGAGTCCACTGCACTGAGCGGGTCATCTAGGAGATAGATGTCGGCGTCACTGTAGACGGCCCGAGCCAGGCTGACCCGTTGCTTCTGACCACCGCTAAGATTAATGCCCTGGTGATTCATTGCATCACAAGTAAATGGTCAAATAGTGAAACTATCCATGCAATCGATTGCAACAGTTGCATGTCACGACCTTCCTAAAAAATGGAAGGGGTGGACGGTCAAACAAACAGCCAGAGAAACAGCTGAAAATAAATCCTGCATATGCTTCACACGTAGAATGAAAAATTACAAAGAGCTAACTTTTGGTAATAACATTTTTGTCCATTTTGTGCCTGCTCTGAATTTAGGGTTGTTTCAGACATCAGGTTTGAATCCTAACATTCATCAATCCTGCAACAGGTGAAAGATTGAAACTAATTCGTTAGGTTGCTCCACATGTTCCGGCTAATTTTATACCCACTCAAACACAGACAGATATAGCCACTTTTACTGGACTGAACCAACAGAGAGATATCAACGAAGGTCACGGTTTACCTTTTCTCCTATCTCAGTCAGATCACCGCCGGGCAGCATGTCCAGGTCTGGTACCAAGGCACAGGCTTCAATCACTGTCTGGTACCTGTCCTCCTGCAGTGGCTTGCCAAAGGTGATGTTGTCCCTCAGGGTGGCGTTCTGGATCCAGGCCTGCTGGGGCACATAGGCCACTGAGCCCTGGTATGAACATTAGCTTTTATCATGTCAGATATGGCGGTGGTGATCTTACGTACACAAAAGGTTCCTGTGGATAAATTCTGCATTTTGGGTAGTTTGATACCAGCCTTTGGGGATGCAGTCCATATGCCCCTGGACAAGACACTTTGTTACCAATTGTTTCTCAACTCAGAACAACCTCTAATTTTATAACCTCACGTTACAACACTGAGCGTTACAGGTGCTCAACAATACCCTCATTGACTAAAATGTCGTAGTTTATTTTTCTGTCCAAAATTTCTTTTGATTTTGTTAATATTTTTAGTGTTTTAAATGAAATAAGTAATTTTTGTAAATTTGAATGGTTCTGGTCCTAGGACCATTTTATTCAAATATTTGATGTTAATAAACCAGAATACTTCTCCCCACCCAGGAACAAGGGCTCATTATCTTTGAAGGTATCCGCATTGATATGCATGTATAGCATGAGCTCGGTATTCAACAGAAAGCTGAGGTAATCAAAGGACGACGAGGAAGTGAAATAATGTATAGCACTCTCATTCTTAAAAGTGCTAAATAGCTTCCTAACAAATAAACTTTATAACGGTTACTCTGAAAAATCACATGACATATAAAAATACACTTGCGCTTGAGGGTAGACGGTCAACATTAGCTCTCTGAGGTAGTTGACAAAGTTTGACAAATTCTGTCAACATCTAATCCCGAAGGGAGTTGGTATCAACAGTCCAGCTAAAATAAGCCATGTTATGCTTGTTTTAGCACACCTCATTCATAAGACACCACTCAGCACAGGTATACGTCAATAAATATTTGCGCATATTACCATTTTTTTTTTATCAAAATAACCAGGGCAATATTTGCGCATGAGCACTAGCCCTGTGTGATAATTCAAAGATTGTTTTGAAGAGTGTTATACAGCACAAGCATAGCAGACTGCCAGACAACAGTTAACTACACACCTGAGCGTGGATCCCTGTATTTGTGCCAATTAAACAGCAAAAAACAGCAACTGACAAATGAAAATGGACCAGTAAGAATTCAATTCTTATTTATGAATATGCATGAGGTATGGCACAGAACTGTGTTCTCTTTGACTACTCATATGCTCCGCAGAGAGAACCGTCGCTGTACCTGCACTGCCACTGTTCCACGTTGTTTCTCCATCTCTCCCAGTAGAGCTGACAGAAGCGAAGACTTGCCTGCTCCCACTTGGCCAACGATAGCAACAAGGTCCTCATCCTTGACTTGCATGGTGATGCTGAAACATGCATCACAGTATTCATTAATGCCCCCGCCGGGCCAACTTCAACAGTCTCATGGGCATTTCTGTGCACAAGTCCCCACCTGCGATGGCACTAGAACTCCAATACAGTGATGAGCTCGACACTGCAGATCCCAACCAATGTGACTGAACTGTGCGAGGCACTTTCTTAAGTGGACTGATCGGACCTCATATTTAAGGCTATGCCAAAAATTTCCAGAAAATGTGGTCAAAGATCCAACGAGCAATTTCAAAAAAGTACTTAAAACAGTTCAATTCTCTTCACTTAAATGCAATTTACCAATGTGCCCAGAGTTGGAACTGCAGAACAGTGATGTTTTTGTACCTGCCACAGAAAAAACATGCTCCAACAGTGTCTCAGATGCTATTGTTTTGTATGCTTATGTCTCTATTGGCCCACAGCAAGACCGAGAGAGGGCGCAATTTTCTAAACAACAGAGGCTCATTTGGTGGGAACTAAACTTTGCTGCTTCACAAACGACTATGGCATGCATGCGTTGCGGTCGCGTCGCTACCAACCACATGAAGACTCCCCAACACCACAGCTCTTTTCAACTCTTTTGAGGAGGATGCATCTGCTCAAAGATAGAGTGAAAGATCTACATGTAGTGTACGCACAGGACAGTCTTGGCCAATACAAAGTCACAAATGGAGGGCATGATAGCAGACACGCCTCAATAATTATTTTGAAACGCCTTTTGGTGTACGTTGAATCCCCTGGAGGGTTGGTAAAGACAGGGTTTCGTGACTCCGAGTTTGTAAGGAATGGTGCTACATCGCCGTACAGAGCTAGATTTTGGTCAACGTCACAAGATCCCAACATCCCCAAGCTTAAAGAGATAACTTACTTCTGCAGGACTGGGCTCTCGTCTTTCGACCACGAGAATTCAGCGTCCTTCACCATTATAGTTTGACCTGGGTATTAATAAAACAAGGATACCGGGTGAGGAAATCAACCAGACTGCATAGAACAAGGGTCAAGACGAAAACAAGCTCAGCAAACTCTGGTCACACTTTAGGTACATCTTAATTTCTGTTAGGAAGACACAAATGGCTGCAGAGTGGCCTAACTTCTAAAACTGATGTCTGTGGAGATTTATAACAAAGCTTCAGATAGTATAATGAAACTTGATTCACCAAAAAGTTAGGACGTTGTCATTAGGAAAATTTCTCCTCCACTGCCGTTGAGTATGTCATGTTCACAAGTGTGGGAGTAAAAGGCATGAGGCGGGAACCAGCACACTGACAAACACGTGCGCGTACACCATTCGTTTGCACTACACGTCCTGGTTCAAAATGACATCACACTTTAGTACTCTATACAAGCACTATAGCCACCTAAACAGCATGCTTCGTACTCTCTAAAGCTGTCACTTTGGGAAAACGTCAAGGGATCGGTTAGAAGAAATCAACCTGAAAAAACCCTTGCTACTTTTGTAGTCATTAAGAGACTTGACACAAATTATGAGGAGATTCAATTTATTGAAGTCTTTTGCTCACCAATTTCCCAGGTATTGGGCGACACATTGGAGAGGTCAAGCTCATCACTCTTGAGGAAGTTCTGAATTCGCTTCACTGACACACTGGCCTTGAAAATCAAAACAACACAGCAATATAACAATACTGTGCATCCAAATATCACAAGATTAGGGAATTGTGTCCTTAAGCAGGCCACTTTGTGGCAATTCCTTCCCATGATGTTATTTTACACTGCATAGCTACCAAGGCCACGAGATCACCTTCATCAGCACTGAAGCCAACTCAAAGTGTTCCACCTTCCAAAGGAGGTTAAGCCTCAATGCGTGAACAATATAGAAGATACCTTAGCAGTTAAATAAATTTGACATTATACAAACCCAAAATCCACTTATTCGCTGTGTATTCAGTACACCACAGAGTACATACTACAGTTTTCAAGACAAATGCTGACATAAACTGTCTCGTTACAAATGGTTACCTGAAACAAACCTTAGAACCTAACTCATTGAAATGCCTGACCCAAACCCCCCAGATATCTCTGCTTGGAAACTCCTGGATCCTCCAACATCCATCATTATGTAGGAAACCAATAACATTCTTTATCTATCCCTCAAGAGACACCGAGCACCGTGAACAGTAACAACGACTGTGTTCAACTGTCTTGAATCCATCAAATTCTAAAAAAACCCTGAAGGATGCTGAATGATCGAGGAGGGTTAAGGTTCACACCTGAATGACTTGGGAGATGGTGCCTGGAAGCATTGCCAGGGGCAAACGCAGGACGTTGAAGAGAGCCACTGAGACGAAAACCTTCTCGGCATCCAAGATGTTGCTCTCGTTCACGCTGACGTAAATGGCAAAAGTGGTGAGCAAGACCTGCATTTTAACAGAATAGAAAACAAGAAGTATCAGAGTCAAAATGTGGTTGGCTGGATTTGCCTTGAAAGAAAAAACACGATTCTTCCAATCAATGGAAACTTTGCAAAGGGGACGCAAGACAGGTTTCACTGGCGAGCCTCGTCCGCTTAATCATGTTTGTAACCAACTTAAAGGTGCAGCTTCGCTTCTCTCAGACTACAGCAAATCAATGCGAAGGCAAACACTTTGGATGCTGCCGTTGAAGTCATAATTTTCCGGGGTTTTACCCAAACTTTATTTTTTCTACAAACTGGTGAGTGATGATATGAAACCGTGTTCAACTGGGAAATGATGAAATCGCATATTCTTGAATAATTTCATCTAGTGACATGTTTAAAAACAACCCCTACTGGGTTAAGCGGGGAAGTAAGTTGAGGTTGTAAAGATTCCATGACACACAAATACGGCGGGGGACAGCAAAATGCCACCAATTATTTACCCTTCTTTGTAAGTGGTTATGCAGGAAAAAGTTGTCCTAACAGTCAAACTCAATCAAGAGACTGTTGTTAACAGATTTGATCCCCCTGCCGACATATTGACAAGCTGTGACTATTCGTGAAACTTGACATGGCCGTGCCTTGACAGCCGATGATTGATAAGCCAGCTTTGTGCACCAGTCACCTGACTCTGTTCGTACTGAATCTAACTAGTGACTAGTGACATACTACATACTTTGTGCGGCATTTACTGGTTCTAAATGGCGTCACACTTTGGTACTCTATAGCAAAAGGAGGGTTGAAAGGGGCTGCCCGATGGTACAGATTCTTAACTACGACTACTTGAACACTCCAAACACTGTTCTGTTAAAAACGGGTAAATTTCTTTTTTTTCCTTAGATTTGGTTTCTTCACATGTCATCCCGTTTCCAACAAAAAGCTATTCCAAAAAACATCACAAGATCATTCGTTTTCATCCTTTGCCAATGTCCCGTTACACTCTAAAACTGACTTGTGATTTGGCTTGCCATTGACTTGTCATTTATTGGGTTACCAGTTCCAATCCCACCCGAGCCGAAAGCAGAAAGACTCACAAAGAACGGTGCGCTGGTCCAGATGAAGGTCATCAGGGCTCCCAGGATGGATGCCTTGAGCACAACCTTCAGCTCCCTCTTACGGATTTCCATCACCTTGTCGCGGAAGGAGTTCTCCCAGGCGTACAGCTTCAGCACTTTGATACCGTTGAGGATCTCGCTCATCAGCTTGATGCGCGAGTCCTTGGCTTCCATCTGCAGGGCCTGGTGTGCAAGACAAAAGATTAATGCTGGTCAGTGGCCTGAACAGGATTATTTGGGGTATTTGGGACAGGGAGGGAGAAGGGAATTAGACTGCAAGGAGGAGGGCTGAGAGCTTGACAATATAAGCCAGTTCGGTATTCCAACACCAAACACCCAAAACGAAGCAAGTCACAGGTCATTCCGGAACATCACTGCACATCAATGAGGTGTACCCAATCAGTGCGGCTATAAACTGACTTGATTTGATTGCTCTCAGCTCATTGTAAAACTTGCCAAAACTTGACATTTAAGCCAAGTTGGATCGTAATCATTGATCAACCAGTGGTTAACATTGTCTGGTACCAAAGGCACATTTTGTGTGTAGCTTACAAAGGGAAAATTGACAAATGGTGGCTGATCAAACATGGCCCACGTTGCTGGCGCTCACCCTACTAACCTTCCAAGATCTTTCAAAATCCCCTGGGATGTTCTATAGGGATCAGGAACACTGAAAATGGTTGAATCAAGACAATGTCACTGTGCGTGGAGATGGATGCCTTCTGAAAGTTTGCAGGGAATGCGCAAACGGTTTCCTGTGTAGTGGACCAGTCGTGAATGCTGCTGGCAAACAGGCCAAGTGAGTTACAGAGGTGGATATTAAAGTCGAGGCATGTACCTGCAATTTGCGGATATTGACGGCGATGATCGCATTGACGGGTATGAGCAGGAGGGTGACGGCGAATCCGGCCATGACCACTGGGCCCAGGACCTGCCAGAGGAGGTAGAGGGCTATGATCACCTGCAGCGGCGAGGCCCAGAGGGTGTTGATGAAGGTGCAGAGGTCCATGCAGCGTTGTGCATCTACAGACATCAAGTTGATGATCTCGCCGGTGGTGGCCGAACGCCGGGCCGAGTTGGACAAGACCAGAGACTGCGGGGCATAACAAAAATACACACACATGAAAAACCACTCGATGGAGGTAACACTAATTGATTTGCAGCATGATCCGAGTGCTGGTGATGGTGACAAGATGATAATGCCACAGGTAAAAACAGAAGTGGTGATGACATTTCTGGTACCAGCAGGTTCTGCAACTCATTACAAATGCCTCACATAGACTTTACATTCTTAGCAAACTTAAGAAAAGTGGTGTTAAAATTGACGACCTCATCTTAATCTAGAAGAGTTACAGTCGCCCCACACTTGAATATGGTGCAGTGGTGTGGTCTTCAGGTCTCACTTTAAACCAAGATCAGACTATCGAAAGAATTCAGAAGCGTGCACTTCGCATAATCCTTTACTCAAATATCTTGCCATATAACGATGCTCTCAATCTCTTGAACATCCAATCGCTTTCAGACGGACGTGTTGACCTCACCACTCAATTTGCCAAAAACTTGCTCACCTCTGAAAAACATCGCCACATGCTTCCCAACTCAAGACACTCTCTCACTAAACCAAATCTCAGGAACTCCAACCCCCTTACCATACCCCAAATCAATACTCAACAATCTCCTGTCCCCTCTATCATCAGAATAATTAATTCTCAGTAGTTGTGGGTTTTAGGTGTTCATATGTTCTTGTTCCTCTTATCTTATTTCCATTTTAATTACCCAAATTTATCTATAATGTAAGTCACTGTTATTGTTTTTTTCTACTGTTTATATGAATGTAATGTCTGGCAATATTAATTATCTCTGTAAACCAAATATTTTTAGTCCTGGGACCTTTTCTTTGGTCACAATCTTCTTTTTAACAATGAAATCAAAATGAATGAATGAATAAATATTTAATGTACTGAAAGCAATGATCATATAGACAATGATGCTGGTGATAAGGAGACCGGAGTGAAAATACTGATCAGGATACTGGTAATGGTGGTAACAATGGTGGTGAGAAGTGGTGATCAGAGTGTCAATAATGATAAAATCAATGATGGCATTGATAATGGTGATTGAGGTAGCAATCACAGAAATGATAATGGTGATAGTGGTGATCAGAGAGTCAATAATGATAAAATCAATGATGGCATTGATAATGGTGATTGAGGTAGCAATTATAGAAATGATAATGGTGATAGTAATCAGAATATTGGTGGTAACAGGTCAAGTCTTATCTATTTTTATGCAGAAATGCACATTAATAATACATGCTTAAATTACCATAATGAACAAAGGAGTTTATTACACTTGATAACTTTTTATGAAGCAGTGAGACCGTACAGAGTATTCAGAACATGTAATAAAACCAAACCTCCAGTGTGTTTTGTTAGTGTGTGAAAAAAAAAAAACCAGCTTGAATTCGCCCTAAATAGGCAGTCGTGATATCGCAAATAGTAATAAACTGGACAGCAAGAAACTTGCCACTTCTGTCAAAGGCCACACATAAAAATGCACTCCACAGAAATAAACAATTTTTGTACACAGGTATGCTGCAATACCCCCTTACTAATCACATGACCAAATGCAAGTGATTATCTTTATAACAAAGATAAAATTGACATTCCCAGCAACTTGGTTACTGAATCAAAAGTCACACACAAAAGCGCTCTCCGCCAAGCAAAAATGACCCATGAATGGACAACATTTTAAACAACCAATGACTAAGTGAACACCTGTTTTGTCAAAATGATGTGCATGAGTGGTTTCTGTATAGGGACGCCATCCTTACTGACTATGCATACACATGGTTGTGACAATGATAAACAGTGACGAGAGATTCATATGTGTGGCGATTACCTTCCGATAGATGGCCCCTATGATGGCCGTCCGCAGCTGCATCCCCACTGTGGTGGTGATGTGGAAGTGCTGATGCTGGAGTACGGATTGCACCAACGCTGCCGCGAAGATCAAGAATGCATAGAAGTAACCTTGCCAGCGTGGAATGCTCTTGTCCTCCGTGTATCGGATCAGCTGCCTGAGGAGAAAGACGCAGAGTACCAAACTAGGGACGAGGGAACCAAGGACTAGACAGATGTGAACGCAAAGAGATTTCGCTTGGCTCTGTAAAGACTTCCGATTATGTCTGTTTGAGTAACTGGTTCATGTCACACTCTGGGAGTGTTTGTATGGAGAAGCAAGTCAGTGTCCAACCTGTGTTGAAAGACTCCATTGCAAGAGAAAATGAGAAAAGCAGGTAGGGACGGGTTCAGTGCATGAAAGTACACGTACATTGAAATGGAAATTTGTCATACAAGCTCAGCGGCCAAAATGAGAAATGTTGCTGCGTGCCCTGTGTTGTGGGTCTCCGCCCAGGGAATGTCTTCAAATCATGCCATCCCCTGTCCACACACAGAGCTCAACATTTTTGTAATCAGGGAAGTGTAATTATTCCGGACTGCATATGTGTCATTCAAAGTCTAGTGGTCCCTGATGCATTTTCTCTGCCACAATACCAATAACCATCTTCTTGATGCAAACAATTTGGATTCATGGCTTGGAAAACATACCCCAACAAAGCCCAATGCTTCAGTGATAAGACCTCTGCAGTAGAGGACAGGAGGGCTTGAGTTTAAATCCTGCTCATGAAATCTCACCAGTTTTCCCTCTTGAGCTCTCAGACAGCACTGAGTATTCAGGCTTATTTTCAATTACATTTGTATCAAAATGACACAAGCTCAGGGTCACATGACCTCAACTCACTTGAGTAGTTCTGGACTGGCAAAGACCAGAACGTCTGTCACCAGCTTCAAGAGAGATCCAATCAGGAAGAGCCCTCCAAACGTCCTGACGATTGCCTTGAGGAGGGAGGCATTTGGACGGACGTCAGACATGTGACAAGTTGCCGAGGCCTCGTCAGCCCAGTCGGCATGAGTGTACTTTGCTGAATTGGTGGAAACGTGTAGCGTTTTCTTCTGCTTTCTGCGGCTGGACTTTCGTTTGGGGAACCTGAAAGTGTTGGTTGGAACTCACATCTATTAAGGCAATACTTGGTTCTTCCTGAGGCAAGAAGCAGACGGCAGCAGACGTTAACAACTGGACTCAATTTAACTGTGATGCTTAGCACATGACTTCACGGTAACAGTGGCTCCACGTATTTCATGGAGACTGTGCTGGTAAGCAGTAAGCTATTAGGCCAAAGGCATGCTAACCTTGGAGGAAGAATTTGCTTAAACTTAGTCATGTGACAATAGAAATCTCTATGCTCGTCCAACCTTTTGCACAACATTGCAAAGCACTAACATGAAATAGCATTTAAGGTCAGCAAAGTTTTCTGCTAAAGTTAGCACTGCTTTTCTGCTAACTGTTAACCACTTCGAACTGGGGCATTTTTCAACGTTG